CTACTACTACTACTACTACTACTACTACTACTACTTCTTCTTCTTCTTCTTCTTCTTCTTTTTTGGTCCGAGGAACTTGTCTGTGAGTCATGCCGGATGCTGCAATCTTATTGGGTGATGCAGGCTGATTTCAGGTCAAGTGCTTCAGATCGAGGAGTCATCGACACCAGATGGATACTAGTTCACCATTTGCCATAACCGTCGTTCCTTGTTCTGCGGGTTTCCCAGCTCACTTCTCAGTTTAGTTGATGGAGAGGCTTGGCTGCAACTGATTGACCCAAATTTATGAACCGAAAGTCTCAACCATCATTTCCTGGATTGTTGGAGCCTTTCGCCATGTCCATTCCAACTCGCTAACTACACAACTCCCTCTGGCGCAGTGTATACCGAGGATATTGACTCTGCATCAGAATCTCTGTCTGGGAGCTCATTTGAGACCACTCCAACTAGTTCCACTGCAGGTGACGCTTTCAAGACAGGATCATTAATCATCGACACTGGGGATGCTGTTGAGCGTGGCTGGGACCATTCCTCTAAAATGCGGTACACAGTGCCTGGAGGTAAACCGCTCAATGCAGAGCCTCCAACCGCTGCCGAGTTTGCACTATCCCGCCAATGATAGGTCGAGACCACATTTTGCGGTCTTCCTGCTAGATCCTGAGGGTACTGAGCGCGAGGTATGGCAATGCGCTGCTCTGGCGAGCCCTGCTCGGGCAGAACTTGCAGAAGAGTGTCAGAGCCACGGCGCGGCCTAAGATCACGGTGCATCTGCTCCGGGGTAGCGGATCGACTTGGGGGCAGGCCTTGTTCCAATGTTCCGGGTAACTCTTGAATAACTGGCGTTTGTCCTGTGGACGGCCCATACTGATTTCCAGCCAGTCCCGAAGGCCGATTTGGTCCCCTTACCTGCATTGTGCTCAGCGTCACATCACCCATAAATGGAAGAACCCTAAGCGGACTGCTCTGGGCCGTTGCCATTGGTCGCCGTCGTGACTCACTCAACAAGTCCTGTATCTCCTTCTTCTTTTCTTCGGAGATATCAGCAGAAGGTGAAAAACCAATCCTTTCCGTCGTAAAGCCGTCACCAGCTCCCTCCATGACCCATCCCATGGGACTGCAGGACAGCAGGAGTCGCAAAACATCTGGATGCCCGTAATGTGCTGCATGATGATAAGGCTGCCATCCCTGTTCATCCCTTTTCAGGACGGAAGCGCCGCGCTGAATCAGAAGGGTTACAATAGACAGGTGACCTTCCATTGCGGCCAAACAAAGAGGAGAATCTTCCTGCAACTTATCGTCGTACGGTAGGGATAGAGGTGAACCCCGGTCTAAGAGATGTTGAACTGCAGCTGTGTGTCCATGCCGACATGCTGCACAAAGCGCTCGGTCTCCAATTGCATCTCGAGCTATCAAGGATGCGCCTTTGTCGCAAAGTAAGTTAAGCAATGCTATGGATCCGCGTGCTGCGGCGAGATGAATTGGCCTTTGTTGATCCTTCGTCTGCACTTCTATATTGGCGCCCGAGATGAGCAGGAGCTTCACAATTCCGGTAGTATCTGTTTTAGTTATACAAGCATAGTGGAGCGGAGCAAACCCGGAATGGCACTGCGTTTCCATTGGAACACGCTTGCGAAGGAGCATTTCCACAACGGCAAATTTAGAATTCAGGACTGCCAAGTGCAGAGCTGACCGACCGGCAATGTTGGTCATAGCTAGAATGTCTTTCTTCTGACTAAGAAGGTCAACAATTTCTGTGTGTCCATTGTAAGAAGCCCAGTGCAACGCTGTCATAGAAGCATCATCGACCTGTCTGGTGGATGCTTTTCTCTTTAGTAGAGCTTGCGTCACCTGCAACCGGCCCATCGCTGCGGCACAAACAAGTGGCGTCCTGTTATCACTTCCAACCGCATCGATGTCCGCCTTGTGGTTAAGAAGAAATTCAACTACGCCCATGTGACCTTCTTCGCAGGCGTGGTGCAGTGCTGTCATCATCGTTCCATCTCTGGCTTCTAAGTCGGCGCCATTCCAAACCAAAAATTTAACAACAGCTTCATGGCCCTCCTTTGCGGCAGTATGCAGCGGAGTCATTTGGTTTTCAGCGCGTGTGTTAACCTTAGCTAGACCGGCAATCAATATGTTTGCGGCTTCGAGTTGTCCATGTTCTGCTGCAACCCAGAGCGCAGTTCTGCCCCTAGAATTTAGGGCTTCCGTGTCGATTCCTTCCAAAAGAAGCAATTTGAGAACCTCACAATGACCTCGAGAGGCAGCAAGGTGCAGGGCAGTCGACCTTGACTTATCTGTGACATTTAGCCGAGCGTTTTTTTGAAGGAGCAATTCAACAATTTCTTCGTTTCCACAATGCGATGCCACTAGTAATGCATTTCTTCGAGTATTTACGTGGCAGGCTTCAATATCATGGCAACTTTCTATAAGCCTCTCAACATCTGAACGAGAGCCTGCCTGGGCTGACTTGACAATAATTGGCGCAGCAGCCCCCTCAGGTGTTGTTAGGTCGATACTGGTATGCATATCTCGTCCATTGATCCGCCGTGCTGCCATTGATCCGCCTGTTAGGCTTCTTATGGGAGCTTGAGCCACCGACTTAGAGCGACTTAGTTGCCGGAATGCTGCACGAATTCTTTCCCGCTTGGAGCTCGAAGAGCGGCTGATGGGGGAAGAGGACGCGGAGTCTGGCTGCCATCTCTGGAATTGTGTTGAATTCAACTGAACGTTAGAGGGTCTGAACGATACACTCTTACTATGGCCATGCCCCGGACGGATTGTGTCGTATGGTAGAACTGGCAGTGCAAGACTGCTTGCCCGTGACATATTTGGTTTGCTCACCGAGCCGCTGCCATAGCCTTCATCGGTACTCCAGCTGTCGTTGCCATTATTGGTAGTAGGTTGTGTTTCCGTTCTTGACCACGAACGATGGAGTACACGACGATAAGGGGGAGAGGAAAGTAGTCTCCCATCGAAGTCAAAGGTAGTATCTCCAGACGAAGATTGGCGATAACTTTGGCTAGAGCTATCGGCGTGGGAGGCTGTGTAGCTACTTGAGGACCGAAATGTCGCTGTGTCACTGGCAACCTTCTGGATGATTTGACGATTCTCCGCTTTGCGAAGTAGTTCGACTTGCGCAGACGTCGATCGACTACGGTGGGTCAGCCCAAATTTACCGGACGTTAACCAGTAAATGGAATCTCACCATTGACAAGCCTGCACCAAAAGCTGTAGCGCAAGAACCTGAGCGTGTAGCCTGTCCTGATGAGCTCGCATTATGTCCTCATTCCATAAAATTTTTACACGAGTACCTATCCCAAACTGTGTGTCATTGCCCCTGGTGAGGGCAGCGACCTGGTCGGATAGGACGTCCATGACGGCCCGGCAGCCATCCAGCGCAATGAAGAGACCCTCGTCATATTCATTTTGTTCAGCTGTGTCACGAGTATTCTTTCTTGCCCACTCATCCAGCTGTGTAATAGCAGATTTGATGGTCACCAACTCTCCAATGAGTGACCGAATTGTGAGATCTGCATGGCTGAACTTCTCGCGCAATGTCGCCAACCCCGCAGCGGTCTGTGTGATGACCTGCACAAGCTGAACTGCGCCAGAAATCACGCCAAATATAGAACCTGGATCCATGGGATTGTAACCTGTTTCTACTCCAACGAAAGTATCATTAGAGGATATGAAGGAAAGAGGGGTGTTGCGACAGGTCGTGTGTGCTTCCGTGACAGACAAGTTAGTACCCTAAGAACCAAGAGGGAAAGGCAATGAACAGCTGCAGATCACATCTACCCCAGGGAAGAAGACGATCTTCGGAGCAAATAGAAGAGTCAAAATAAAAAAGGTATGACTTGTATCAATGCTAATGGAGTGAGAAGCGTCCCCGAGTCTGCAGCTGCGGCATTGACGAGTCGAACCCCAGAAACACGAAGCATTGTCGAAGAATTAGCTTTGGGGGAATTTATAGGTAAAGGAACATTAATTAACTACAGCGGAGGACATATGTAGGCTGACAAGACATTGGGGATCGTCCGAAGCACAGCCACCAAATCTAGAACAAGCCAGTCACACGGGCAGTGCATCTTCGTCATATTTTACAGCCACCTCTACTTGGACGAGATTGGACTAATGATGATGATGATGATGGTCACTCAATATATAAAGACACTATTCGAAATACATAGCAAAACCGCCCTTTTGTACATGAATAACCATCCCAAACCGTCTACCGCACCTGGCAACTAGAACATAAATCCGTGGTAGGGGACAAAAAAAAAAGAGGAAAATTCTATCCATGCAAGAAAGGGGATCATAATGCTCGGGTATAAGATCATTTGAGGTTGAGATATGTTCAGCGACTGCGACAGTAGACTGTTTAGGCCCCGATCTCGTTCATGACCCATTTCTCCAACCCTCCCTTGGCAATGATTTCTTGCACATTGGGGGGAAGTTCACCTACCTGGTGTGTCCATTTGGGACCATTTTCTCCCTCCTGAACCTCAATGCGGCTTCTCCGGACATCCCAGGTTAGGGTCCAGCCAGTGCGGCGGGTGAGAGATTTGTCACTTTCTTCTCCAGAGAAGCTCTCACGGAGACGGTTGATGAGACGAGGAACTTCCAGACCCATCAGGGCATTGTTGATACTGTTGCGAGAGAAGATATTGCCAAAGCTTCCCGACACAACGAGCGGGATTTTCTTTGCCAGAATGGCGGTCGCTGCCTGCTCTCTGGAGCTTCCACAGCCAAAGTTGAAACCAGTGACTAGAATGTCACCTTCTTTGGCGATCGACGAGAACTGAACATCGTAGTTGGACATGCAGACCTGAGCCATTGTCTCTTGGGAAACATCATCTTGGTAGGTATATTTGCCAGGATAGATACCGTCGGTGTTAATGTTGTCTGCATCGCAAAACACAATTTCACCCGAGACACGCTCTGGAAATCCAGGGTATACCTCCGTAAGGGAATCACCAGATGGCTCTTCACTCTCTTCTGGAGCAAACTTCTTCTCACCATCGGCAACCAAATTATCAATCTGGCCAATTAATTTCTCCAAGGCTTGTTCAGCGGTAAGCATGCGATCCTCCTCCCGAATTCCGTCCCCTTCTCCACGTACAACTTCAGTCAAACCTTCCGGTGCCTGGTACCAGCCGGGGCCGCTGAGCTTTCCGGTCAAAGCGCTAGCGGCAACGACTTCGGGGCTACCAAGGTATGCTTTCGCATCAGTGCTACCCATACGGCCCTTGAAATTACGATTCGAGGCGCTGATGCCTACTTCTCCAGCCTCCAAGAGACCGGTTCCTAGCCCAATACATTGTGCACATCCAGGCAGTAATGGCGTAGCTCCAGCATCTAGTAGGGCCTGCCAATCACCAGCTTCTTCCGCAGCTAATTGCTCAGGGATAGACGCAGCAGCAACATAGAACTCAACACCGTCGGCAATCTTGGGGACTTTGCCACCATTCTTTTCCGCAGCTTCCTTGAAGACTCTAGCAGCTGCAGCGATATCCGAGGCCCTCGAGTTGGTGCATGAAACGAGGTATGCCTTGTTAACTTTGATATTCTGGGCCTCTAGGTCCTTGAGAGGCGTGGCAACCTTGACGGAGTTTGGACCAGAAACGTAAGGGGAAAGTGTAGAAAGATCCAGGAAAAGCTCCTTAGCATATTTGGCGCCCTTGTCAGCAGTTAGAGGATTGGCAAACAGCTGCTCGAGGAGCGGGTGTGTGAAATGCTGGGGGGCTAGAGTCTTGAAGGGACCTTCCGCAAGCCCCATGGCTGCTGTTGTGGCCTTGCCTTTCAGCCATCCTTTCAATACACTGTCAATTGGGAACAGGCCAGATAAGGCGCCCCATTCTGTCGTCATGTTGGCGATCGTTAACCGGGCATCTACCGATAGACTGCGCATGGTCTCCTCGGAGCCAGTAAATTCAATTGCATGGTTCAAGACATCGTCCTTATCGAACAATCCACACAGAGCGACGATCACATCTTTGCCGGTCACACCCGGTGGTAATACACCGGTCAAGGTGACCTTTGCAACGGGCGGGATCTGCCACCATGTCTTCCCAGTGGCCCAGATGCTAGCACCGTCCGTTCTCACGATTGGTGTACCCAAGCAACCGACGCCACCGTACATGTTACTATGGCTATCGGAAGCAACCACAAGAGTACCAGGCCAAGCATAGCCTTCTTCCACCATGACTTGATGCCCAATACCCCTTCCGGCGGGATAAAACTCGACCCCCTGGTGCTTGGCGAAGTCTTCAATCTGACGATACTTCTGGAGGTTCTTCTCCGACTTGTTCTGTACATCGTGGTCGAGAGTCATCACAATCTGCTTCGGATCATGTAATTTTGTTGCACCAATAGACATGAACTTCAAAGCAACAGGCCACGAATTGTCGTGAGTCATACACCGGTGAGGCGAGATAGTGACATAATCGCCGGATTTGACGAATTTATCCTTGGCCAAACCAACGGAATATTTCTGAACGATCTTCTCTGTGAGTGTCTGGGGAATGGCCCTTGACGCCTGAAGAGAGGAGTAGACTGCAGCTGACGAGGGATCCTCCAATTGCGATTGGAAAATGTCTTGGAAGTAGAACCTAGTGGAGGCGAATGCACGTCGTTGAGGAGTGCTCGGCACGCGCAGGGATGCCCAGCGTCTGCCAGGGCCACGGGACGGCATCAATCGAGACTGCATGGGGTCAGCTACACAATCAAGACTGTACGGTAGAAAGGACCTACAGCCATTCTTGCCAGGAGACGTTCAACCGTTGACCTTTCTTTGCGAGGGAAACTCTGGCGAATGAGAAGAAGCGCATTATTTCTCACTCTGGGGAAGCGCCAGTAAAAGCGGCTAGTGCGCCAAGTCTCTCCGCTATCGGAGGTCATGAGTCAAAGTTATCGATAAAAGATAATCTAATCCACTAATTTGAACCATATATTCCGTACTTCTATACAAATATAATACAACTAACTATAATGCAAAAGAAGAATATCTAGCCTTTCCCTTTGTCTTTTACAATCACTTGACCGTCCGGGAAGGTAGTTGTCAGAGTTTCCACACAGCCCAATCCTTCAGGTCAAGTTCCTTGATGATCCCTTGAAGCGGTCCTTGAAGCTCCATACCTTGCGCCCAGAGCTTTGGTCCAGCCATGTAGCTAATGAAGCCTTCCGGTCCCGAGACTAAGATCATCTTTCGTTTCTGAGATCCCTCAGCCGAGGTAGCAGAGTCCGCAACGTCTAATATAGCTTTTTTCCCAATGAATGTGTTTTCCTCATCAACAAAATAGTCCACCGTGACCTGTCCCGGATACTGAGACTTGAGAGCCTCGAGCTCTCTGACAATGAGAGAAGGGGAAAGAGTAGTACTCTTCACGGGGTCAGCCGGAGATGGGTCGGCTGGTGATGACTTCAAGAAGCCGGAGAACCAGGGCGCTCGCGATCTAGTCGTCATGGTATTATCATTTGTTCCACCAACACAGTCATCTCGTCTCCTATTTGCCCAAAGGATATGTATCCTTGGTTTATGTGTTCCGTCCGTGCGGCCAAGGAGTGTATGTCCTGCCTGTAAGGCAGGAGCGATACCAGTTCCACCAGCAATGAAGAGAATCTGCTGGGTATCTAAAGGGATCTCACACTCAATTTGTGGACCACGCATCTCTATGCAAGTTCCCATGTCCAAACCATGCAAATACCGTGACATTTCGCCGAAAGGGTCCCTGCGAATGAAGAACCGGAGCGACTCATCTTCTTCAACCGACGTAGGAGGGAGAGGTGTATAGTCTCTTCCAATCTGTAGCTGCGGCTGTTTGAACATCACACTCCAGACCCCCGTTTTCCAGGCTTCGTCATAGACCTGACAGTTATCACTGGCCGGCTTGGGCGCTTTGAGAGTAAAAACACTACCAGTCGACGACACCGGCTCCTTTGAAACTAGGTAATACGGAGTAAATGTGATGGGATTCAGCGTCGTAGATTTCAATTCTTCTTGAGACCTGATATAAGCACCAATTCCTGCTGCTGCGATGGTCACGACAGCGACTCGAAGCCAAGGGCGTTGTTTCGACGGCAACGATGCAGGGGAAGAGGAAGAGAAGGCATGGCGTCTCCGTATCCGACCAACCGACCTATTGAGGGGGAACGGTGAACTAAATAGAGATAAGGTCCGAGCCGGTGTTCTTGGCTTCATGAGATCGTTGGGGGTGGGAGAGAGAAAGAAAGAAATGGACGGATTACCTTCATAGTTCACTAAATAATTGCGGAAAAGATCTGGGGGCACAAGGACACTAGGCCTGATTTGGCAGAACGACGATCACTCTTGTGTTTCTTCTACAGCACTGAAGCTGATCTTCTTCGCTCCGTGTTTCTCTCTGCCAAAGGACGAGAATTCCTTGCGATCGCTTCTGTGTTCATACAGAAGGGCTTACAAATCAGCAAGAAAAGCTCGTTTTTCGTTCTCTAATCGTTGTCGCAATTAACCTGGCATGGATTGTTTTCATTAATATTCCTTTTAAGCCCGGACTCCTTTAAACCACAATGGTGTTTTTGAATTCCGAAAGCAGGTCAGCTAATATCCATGCGCCTCGAGATTCACTAGAGCTCGCCTCTCTCGCCTCCTCCTCGCCCGAATTAGACGCAAGGTCCTCCAGCTCCTCCCCCTCCGGTATTTCGTCCTCCCGAAAGCTCTCCCTCGAAGATGAGGATCCTCTCTCGAATTCTCATGTACATTCAAATTTCAACTCTGGAAGGCCTAGATCTGCCCGTTCGTATTCGGTATCTTCTGCGTTCGATTTCGGGAGAACACTATTTCCCCTGTCGCAGACGGCTGGGGGGTATGCTCCGTTAGGCGCGCCTTCAGCGCTGGACCGTGAAAGCGGGACCGCCGATGGTTCATTAGAAAGGAACAAAACGTTAACCTACATGAACGGCCTATCCCTTGTGGTCGGGTTGATCATTGGCTCAGGGATCTTTTCATCGCCGAGTCAGGTCAATGCCAACGCGGGGTCCCCTGGTGCGTCCCTCATTGCATGGGTAGTTGCAGGCCTGCTGGCATGGACGGGGGCGGCCAGCTATGCAGAACTAGGGGGAGCGATTCCTTTGAATGGTGGCTCTCAGGTATACTTAGCAAAGATTTTCGGAGAGTTAGCAGGCTTCCTTTTCACCTGGTGTGCTGTTCTTGTGCTGAAGCCAGGCAGCGCTGCCATTATTGCCATCATATTTGGAGAATACGCTGTTCGAGCTGTAGTCGGTGCCGAGGTCGAGCAGGTCAATCCCTGGATTAACAAAGCCGTTGCATTTGGAGGTGTCTTGATAGTGACCTTGCTGAACTGTATTTCTACAAGGTTAGCCGCACGCCTCGGTGACATATTCATGTTCTTCAAATTCATCGCCTTGCTTGGAGTCACCATCATTGGCGTTGTCGTGGCGATCACGGGCCTCTCATCAAATGGCAGTGCAAATGAAGAATGGAAGTCGGGCTGGTTTAAAGATACTAATGTTGACATATCAGCCTGGGCGGTCGCTTTGTATGCCGGCCTTTGGGCTTTCGATGGCTGGGACAACGTATGTGATATTTTTATTTCTATAATCAATTTTCCATATCTGGATCACCGTCGCTGATAAGATGCAGACTAATTACGTGACGGGCGAATTTAAAAACCCCAATCGTGACCTCCCGCGTGTACTTCATACTGCTATGCCCTTGGTCATTCTCTGCTATATCCTCGCGAATATCTCCTACTTCCTAGTCCTACCGCATTCGACCATTGAGGCCAGCAACACCATCGCTGTTCAATTCGGCGACAAGGTGTTTGGAAAAGCAGGTGCTCTCGTGTTCGCGCTCATTGTTTCTGCGAGCTGCTTCGGGGCGCTCAATGCGACGATTTTTACCAGCGGGCGGTTGGTCTATGCGGCCGGCAAGGAAGGTTATCTGCCTTCAATATTTGGCCACCTCTGGACTCGAGCATCTTCCGCGAGCAGTCGACTGCAGCGCCGGTCATGGGCTCGCCTATTTATTTCGCGCCTTTTTGGTGAGCACTTTCGAATTGGATACACACCCATCAATGCCATGGCTCTGAACAGCGCGCTCACCTTGGTGTATGTGATTGTCGGTGAATTCAAAACCTTAGTCACCTTCTACGGTGTTGCAGGCTACACGTTCTATTTTCTCACCGTCCTAGGCCTAATTGTGCTCAGGATTCGAGAACCGTACCTGGAGCGACCGTACAAAACATGGATCTCAACTCCTATCATCTTTTGCTGCGTTAGTATTTTCCTTCTCAGTCGAGCGGTCATCGCAGAGCCCTTGCAAACCTTGATAGTTGTGGCCTTTATTGTTGCTGGGGTTCCAGTTTACTACTGGCGAATCTATCAGCGTGATGGTCAGATTACATTGCCAGTGTGGAAATTCTGGCAAGCGAGATGAATGTTCACGCCCGTTTCGCATCATTTCCCCTTATATTTTTCTAATACCTGGCCTTCTTCTTCCTATACCCTATGGCCTTTGCCTTCTCCTTTTCTTCGTCCGGCTGTCGGGTCATATTCGAAGTCTGTTCATGAAAATCAATGACACCAATTTCGATTATGGGGTGTTGAATGAACAGCAGAAGTCTCTTGTCGTCAATACTACAAACCCAATATTCATGATAATGAGAAATTCATATCCAGTATCGTGGGTATGTAATGCCTCTCTCTCTCTCTCTCTCTGCCCCTTCTTCTCTAAAATACAACAGAACATTCGACAATGAAGACTGGGTGGATTGTCATGTCAATACTTAATGATTTCTGCATATATAGCTTAGCATATATATAGCATATGCGGTTCTAGAGAACAGCATGGCTTAGTCCTACTTTCTATACAGCCCACCTTAGTTGATTTTATAACTGGAGTGGCTCCGGGTGGTTATAATACTATGGAAGGGTCTAATGTAGCACCTAGAATGATGTTTGACCTTGATATTTCCAGTGATTGCTTTCTTACAACAAGAAAACTAGAGGATTATTGGACATTTATGTTCACCAGACCCCACGAGGAAATAGCTTCATCTTTGTTGCAATGGGCGCTGAAGGGGACCTATTCCCCTTGGTATCCGTTCGTATATAACTGTTGTCCGACCCGGCTAACCCATAGCTAACGACTATCTAGTATATGAACCAAACAATGACATTCTAGGAATGACCATATATGAATGAGACTGAGCTTGCACCTGTGGTGACATCTTTTAATCTCACGTGTTGGGCCTTGACACAGCGGGATTCCAGGGAACAGGAAACAAGTGTCTAAACACCCCATGCTGCCGTCAACCTCTGTGTTCCGGCCTATATTTGACCTAGGTGGAGGTAATAAGAACGGCTGCTGAAACATTATATTCATCTTAAAAACATCATGCTTAGGTCCGAAAGTGATGCCCTTTCTTGTAAGTCAGTACTGTTAACTGTTACCCTTCTGACCCTAAAAGAGTGGATAATGCCATCTATAATGTCAAGTGCGGCCGAGGTTGTATATCCCCTTTATCGAACCAGACTTTGGTTAATGCATCTGAACTCAAGTTTCCTAGCAAGGCCTAGGAATATAATCCTTGACCAATGATGCCACTTTACTCGCCATCCTCAGTCATTCAGGTCTCAGCAAATTAATTTCTGCTCACTAAGTATGTGGAAATACGATCGAACCGCGATATTCATAGGCTGCACCTCAAGCTATCCCCCAAGTCAGATACCCTTAAACAATGTCCTTTATAGCACTAGGTGATATCTTCGGTTGGAACGTGAAGGGTTTCAGAGGTGTGCTCGATAAGCTCTTTTTTCCGAAGTGAGGGCAGGAACAAGCTAAGCTTGGACTCTCAGTAAACTTTCAGATAAAGGAAAGCCTAATGGTGAGCCTGTTGATTGTCTAGTGATTGTCCATTCCTATCTGTTGTGAAGCTAGGTAATGGCGATAGAAGATGCCCCCCTTCAATATCAATGGTCATAACGCGTCATATGTACATTATATATTTGTACAAATCATGCGACTTCCAGTCCATCCCACAAGTCCGCTTGCAGGAGAACAGCAGGGGTCTGTTTCAAATTTGATGCACTGGGGTCTAATTCAGCGAAAAATCGTAGACAACTGGCAGACTCGACACATGGCGTGTAAATACGTGTTGAGATGACTGTTCTTTCATTTACAAAGACCTCTAGCACGTTTCGGTCGAGAAATGCCTGGATCCGAAGTGTCTCTTCTTTCTCCATGCCGTTTTCATCTGCGAAAGTAAACAAGGTATGGGGTGCGATCTCTGGATTATGGTTGATATCCGGATCGTAAGGAGGAGGTCGGTGGATCGAGAATGTCTCACTACATGGTGCCCATGCTAGGGTGATGCCATTACGAGGATCTAGGAATCTGTGTCAGTCGCATAGGGAACAGTAGAAAGCTATGCTGGCTAAGGTAATTGAGACAAACCCTCAACCCAGACAACGAAGACCTACCTAAGTCGTGCTGGACCTCTATCCCCACCAGCTTGCACAGCTTCCCAATTGCAAACTCGGCCTTTAACTCCCACCTTGATGTCGTCAAGGAAAAGCAATTGCCACAATGCTTCCGGTCCCATAATGCAATATTGGCAATGCTCTGGACGTCCCTGCGAAGTTTCTTGAGTCTCTGGTCGGGCTCAATGCCTAGCGTCCGTACTGTAAAACTCCCTTCGCCGTTCGGTTCCTTCTCGATAGACGTAACATCGCTCAGGTTTGAGCGACGTGTTTTTATAACATTGCGCAATGTCATCAACTTTAGAATCCGTGGGAGAGATATCACACCACTCCACCCTTGTTGATGCCGAATACTATCCGGAAGATCCTCTTCCGTGATCCAGCAATAGACGATGTATTGTGACGTGACAGGATCCCAGAAGGAATTGGCGGCGTACGCGCATCCATGATCGAATATTCCGGAAAATGCATAGTCTGTGAGGGCATCTATTGTCTGGCACTTCGGTTGTTCAGGACGCGGATCTACGGCCATCCATAGCTGCGATCGAGGGACCCTCTTTTGCTCCCTCTCAGACACCAAACACCCTTCCACGCCCATTATAATAAAGCTTTTCGTGGTTCCTTCATCGTCGGCCAGTACTACCCAGTTTGCAGTTTCCCCGTTTACCCCCAGGTCGCCCGACCACCTAGACGGCCGGAAGTTCAGCCCAACGTTGACCAGAGGTCCCGCATACTTCCATTCTCTAAGATCATCAGGATTGACTGAGTAGACAAAAACTGTTGGTGTTCGCCCAGCGATTCCTCCGGAGAGAAACCCATAGAGACTGGGAGATGGTAATACGCCATTGTCGTGTTCACCTTGCTTTGCTGTCCACATTCCTATATAAGGGTCTCTCCAAGCGGTTACATTAAGACCGGGAGGAGGTGCCGGTAGAATTGGGTTGGAGTCTAGGCGCTGCCATGTTACACCATTATCCTGCGAAACGGCTATACTGAGCGACTCGCTTCCAACCTTATAGGGCAAAGTATAATGTAAAGGCAAACACCTAACCGAAGTATATATATATGTCAGAGCCCCGGCAACCCCATTGATATCAGAAGGCCGAAAGCAGCCTGTGAATACGCCGCAGCTATCGTGCTCGGTTGACGGTGTTAGACATGGCTCCGGGGATGTCTTCCAGGATATTAGGTCCTTTGAAACTGAATGGCCCCAGGATATGTTTCCCCAATCGTTGCCTTTAGGGTTCCATTGAAAGGATAGGTGATATAGGCTAGTCGCAGGGTCATATCCAAGACCGCAAGGGTCGTTTAACCAGCCGTGGGGAGCGGTTAGGTGAAAAGATGGGCGCGAGTATAGAGCATGACGGGAAGACGCAACCTGCCGTTCACACGATAAAGAATTCTCAACCAGGTTGAGATTGTACGATTGGGTCTGGGGCACCAAATTGGCAGGGATTGCCGCCCCTTCGCATCCTGCGAGAACTTGCATGTTTACCGGGGTGGTTTGATTCGGCTGGTTATTAGGCGACTAGTATAGACGGGGAATATAGCCAACCGAGAGCCCAAGTCCGAAAGTGTCTCCTGCGAAATCAGTCTCTAGCTCAGCCCCTTCGCCGCAAGGACCTCAGCTGATTGGAAGACAACGCCGATCGATTGGTGAGACACACACGTCTTGATAGCTTGGCTGGAAGCCTACAGTAGGGTGTCGGTATGCATAAACGGTTGTTGCGATATCAACCGTGGAAATATGGGACTTTTGAAAAGCTCTGGACAAAGAAATCTTCTAGCAGAGGCACTGGTCTGCCTCACGGCATTTGTCTCGGAAGGCAATTGTCCTTCGTTTTAATAATTCTCACCACTGGTTGAGAAGCGGACGGAGGATTCTCGGAGAATTCGCCTTGGGGGTTGATCCCACATGGACGACAGGCTTGGTCGGAGACCACACACTAGTTGTAAAATGATCGGCTAATCCATCCTGGCTGTTTCGCAAAGATTGATGGAACCGAAAAATCGGCGACGTATTCTACTCTGTACACAGGACAAAAGGAGTATGCGCACACGGTGGCGGAACCTGCAACCGATGAATCTCATCCCCTGGAGTTTTTGCTAGGCTGATTTCAGCACATCAGTTTTAGAACTTGGAAAAGAAAAATTCAAGTGTCAGTGGCAATGCTGTGAGACATATGAAAAACAATTGAAGTGAGTACTATGTACCTATAGGATAAGTATGGTATGACGAGGCAATCTACTCCCCAAGTTTATCGTATCTTTGATGAGCCTTTTCAACAAAAGATCAGGGAGAGAATCATATCAAAACCAAAACAAGTTCGATATGACTTCATATGAGAATGTCCGTATATAGGCATGTATATACATACATACATACTACTAGTACATGGACACAGGAAGTACTGGTAGTACGTATGTAATAAATACTGCATGCAATGAGGGTCATGAGTTAATGCTAAAGTTATTCCAAATATAAAGTGTAGTCTATTGAAACTTGGGGTCTAAACATCAGTGGATCCTCTTTATTTATTTTAGTATTATTATTAAATTTTTTGAATTATTTTTTTTTTAAAAAAAAATTACGTACTATCCTTTTTTAAACAATGGTCCTTCCTTAGTAGCAGTTAGCCTAGTACCTCATACTACTAGTATTAGTAGTCGTTAAGGTACGGTACTAGTAGGTCTGGACTTGTGTGGGACATACCTACAAGGCTTTAAGATAATTGGCTCTATTTTCCTTCAAATACGTAATTATATGGTTAGACTTTGCCGGTTTCAGTCCAAGCATTGAAACTTTCAAGGTCTTTTGGAGATGTGGAAACTGCAAAGCAGTACAACGTTTAATTCCCACCTAACCCTCCCAAGATCCGGGGTCACGGTATATATCCCACACATATCCATGTCTCACCACGTTCCTTAAGGTCCTATTCCCCCTGACCCGCCGAGTCTCCAGACGGTCCACGGCACTTACCTCCACCATTATCCGTTTTTTCAGTCTCAACCTCTTCGTTCTTTCTTACAGAGAGAAAAAGAACAACAAGAAGAAAGAAAAGGGGCATCCGCAAGAGAATGGAATGAAAACCCACAAAATAACCAACTCTTTGTTGTAGAGTTAATAGAAGTCTGTTTTGCTCACCTTGGCGTGCAAATGATATCGTTCAAGATGACCTGTCCGACTCCGAAGTTAGGGGTAGATTCAGACATTCACTCAACTGTGGACAGCGACACAAGTGATGTGCAACATCTGGACCTGACCATTACCGAATCTCATCGTCCCTCGAAAGAGAGGACGGTTAATACCTTCTTATTGGTTGTCTGCGTTGTTTT